ATTAAAAATGATCTGAAATTGGTCTGAATTGTGAATAATACGGGCAAAAACAGATTAAATTCTCATATAAAATAGATACACATAATAAAATTAAATTGAATGAAAAATATTAAAAAATTTTATTAATCATAAAACAGACTAAATTTTTTGACCCGGATATATAAATTTTTAAATAATTTATAATTAGATTTAACCAGATTTAAGTCAATTATCCAGAAAACGAAAACGTAGCTACACTAGGTATCTGAATCGAATAACGACGGTACTTTGGTAAAACCTCATATCTCTCATTTAAAATACATAAAAGATACGAGGTTTTACCAAAGTACCGTCGATAAGTCATCTGCCCAATTTCAAAACACAGTAACTAACATTTAGAAATTTAAAAAAATTTTTCTTATTAAAAAGAAGTTTGCCTGCCAAATTGATGAAAAATTTGATTTATGAATAGAAAATACTTGAATATTAATATTTTTAAGAAAAAATACTTGAAATTAAGGTCTAAAAGTTATAAAAAATCAGCAATATTAAAAAAAAAATAGGTATAAAAATTTTGCAGTTACTGTGTTTTAAAATTGGGCAGCCGAAGTAATCATACAATCAATTTTTTAAAATTTCGATACTAGTTGCATTAATCAAGTCACTTGGTATCTCTTCCCACAGCCATATGCACGTAATAATGAAATAATACTCGTAATAAGTTGCAAGCTTAGGCATCTTAAAGTTAACAATGTTTTTTTTCTCTGCTTGTCTATCAGAGCGTCTAACTCAAGTGTCTTCAAAAAAAAAGATGCGAGTTTTTTGCTCGAAAAGAAATCATCCAAACATAAAAATAGTTAACTCGAATTATGTATATACATTGAGAGAAAAAATTTCTTTTAAAAAAAATGAGCAATGTTGTAATAAGAAATAAAATTGTTCAAAATTTTCAGCAAATTAATTTCTTGTTATAACAATGCCCATTTTTTTCAGTAGAAATTTTTTCTTTCAGTGTATATACATAATTCGAGTTAACTATTTTTATGTTTGGATGATTTCTTTTCGAGCAAAAAACTCGCATCTTTTTGAAGACACTCGAGTTAGACGCTCTGATAGACGAGCAGAGAAAAAAAAACAATTAGATAAAAATTAGATTAAGTGATTACACATCAAATACAATATTTTAAATTTGGGCTTTTTTACAAAAAAGACATTACGCTTGACTAAAAATGACTTGACATTACACTAATAATTATTGAATAACTAAATCTTATATTTTTAGAATATACTGACTTTCTGCAGACTTTCGAGTTTCTTTATAGCTTATTTGTAATTATTTTATTTTTGTTATGTTTACAGATTACGAAAAAGACTACGACTCCACAAAGAAGTCACAACTCGATACCAAAGACAGTGGATCTATAAAAATTTCAGATTCATTGCTCGCGTGGCTTCTATCGCCATTATTACTAATTTCAGCAGGAAGATGATAGTTTAGTAATAAAAAACGCTTCCAGTCAATGTTTTTTTGAAAAGAAACACCAATCGTTTGAAATTGGCCGTCGGCCATTATAATACATAATTTGCGTACTAAAATTATTTTCATACTGAAAAGCAACCAACCAAAGGTGCATGAAAAAGGTGACTACACAACAAGCATGTTTGTATGTAATTTAATGTATCAATATGATATATACTAGATAGAGAGATGAAAATAGATTGATAATAAATGGAAGAACATTATAAAAACGTATGTATAAATTATATATACGCGTATAAAGGATATTATTATTGATAAGTAGAGAATTTGATAACTTACACAGCTTTTAACCACAATTGTTATATACAAGCAGGAACAGGGATATCTACGTATGCATATTATATATAAATATGTCCGTTAATCAAAAAAATTAAGGACAGAAAAATTCAAAATTTTTAATTATTTCTGAAAGGCTGTAACTATCAAAAATAATTCTATGAAACTAAGAGACATTCTAAAACTAAAAACTCAATCAATATACTGCGAGAAAAAATTTTATTTGTAAAAAATGAGCAATGAGATAATAAGAAATTAATTTGTTGAAAATTTTCAACAATTTTATTTTTTAGCTAAAAAAATAAAAATTTTTCTTACAGTAGCTTTCTTGTTGAAAAACAGTTTTCTGAATTTGGAAAAGAACAATTTTGGATAAAATTTTGCAAGTTGTCTAATTAAAATTGTTTTTTTTTTTTCCAAATCAAAAAAACTTTTTTAAACCAAGAAAGTAAGTGTAAGAAAAATTTTTATTTCTTCAGCTAAAAAATAAAATAGTTTAAAATTTTCAACAAATTAATTTATTGTCACAACAATGCCCATTTTTTTTTTTTAAGAAATTTTTTCTCTCAGTGTAGAAGTATCACAAGACGAAGTTTTCCTAATTTAGAATATTATTCCTTAATTACTCTGAAAGGCTAGCTTACGACTAGAAAAAAAATCTTGCGCCAAAAAACTATTTTAAAGAAATTTATTTTTTCGAATCAAGAAAAAAATTTCTTAAACTAAGAAAAATATAAAAAGAAAAAATTTTTTGACTAGAATTTTTTTTTCTTGACTCAAAAAAGTAATTTTCTTCAAATTAGTTTTTTGGCGCAAGATTTTTTTTCTAGTCGCAAGCTAACCTTTTTTTCAATGTAGAAGAAAACGATATCTTCGAGCTAAATAAAGGCAAAAGTTGGTAATCTTTAAGCAGAGAAAAAATTTTATTTCGCAATTTGAGCCAAAGAACCCAACTAATAACAAAAAATTCATTTTTTTCTCCTGCCTATTTCTGTAAATATTTACTAATCCTAGTAAAAGAAATTTCAACACTAAAATTACAGCCTTCTAGAAGCTAGTTAATTTAAAAAAATTTTTTTATTCCCTTAATTTTTTTGAATAGTGTATATATCTTTCTCTACTAACTGTGATGTTTTAAGTTATTTTTTTTTTTTAAATTAATATTTGTATATATATTTTTCTTCATTTCTTAAGAAATAATTGAATGTATTAGTGTCCTAAATTATGAATATAATTCTGTAAATATATTTACCGATAACTCAATAAGATAAAAGAAAATACTATACATACCAAATAAATGTTAATTATGTTGCTTACTCCGTTTTTGTTTTTTTACGTCAATAAACTATTTGTTATTAAAAAATTTTGTTCAAAGCATATTTAATTTAGAGGTACGTTTTTATATAATATTATGTTACTGTTGTTCTATACCATGAATCTTCCCAACCCCTTCAATGAATATTTTAAATAACTACGACAACTCTAAAAGTAAATATTATTTCTTCACAAGAAAAATTAAGTGATTTTACAAAAAACAAATTTTTTCTCTTAAGTAAACAAAAATATCTAATCATTACGTAGTATGGAATATTTTTCAAACAAGCCATAACTTGAAAATCTTTATAATACTCTACAAGCACAAATACACAAGTTAACATCAAAATCAACTAGAAGCTCAAGTAACGTTGCTTTTTTAACATACATTACAGTCATATTAACTGGAAGTTTGGAAATGTCAACATAGTCAATTGAATTTCGTGGAGCAAGTGGCGAACATGAAACACATGGGTTTCCATGGTTCAATTTGCAAAGATCTTCATGCAAAGATTTCTTGTCTTCATTTGGCAGCTGATTAAATAACGTATTGCCATAATTGTTCTTACTAAAATATTTCGAGAGTTTCGACTCATATTTCATTACAAGATACGGTATGTTTTCTTCAATTACTTCAGCGGCTGTTAACCCCAATTCGTTTATGAGATTTTCTCGTTCCGTTTTTTTTGTTGTTAAAAATTTTTCGTTTAATAAAACTTGTAAATAAATTTGTAAATTATACGGTAATGAGTCTGCAATCGGCTCAAATTCGCTAGAAGTATCTTGAGTTAAATCACTTGTCTGAGAACACGAACGATTTATCAACTTAAATGATTTTGTTTTAGATTTATCTGTTTTTACCAAATAGCATCCTTCTCGGGACTTAGCAGCGACGGCAATGTTATCCACTACATCTTTATCAACTTTTACTTTAGCGAAGAGGCCATCAACGACTTGAGTCTTCGATGCCATGCTTTGTAGTCGGTTCAAAAATATCTTCAATTTATCTTTGGCCAACGTTGTTAATTTGCGTTGTATGTCTGCGGATGATGTCACTATGAAATCAAGATCTGGGTGTTGCAATTGCGCTTGTTTATATCTTTCGGCAAATTTTAAAATGTTAACTTCGGGAATTTCAGGTTGCAGCAACGATTGAAAATTGTATTCATCGCGAGTAGTTACCTCGGAGGATATGTGCAGTAAGTTGAAAAGTTCTTTCAATTTACCTGCTCGCAATAAAGACTCAATTTTTTTTACAGGTGTGTCATTAATGAAAATTTCTTCATCAATAACTTGGAATTGAGCGGTTGAGAAGAATTGTTTTAGTAAGGCTAAGCTATTATTATTGTTACTTAGAACTTCTAATCCGTTGATGAGATTCGGTTGAAGTGTGAGTTCTCGATACTTATCAGAAGTAGCATTACCTGTACGCAATTTTTCGAAAAATTTTTTTATAGCAGAAGACATGGTTCATCCAAATATCATGTCACTATTGAAAATAAAGCAAGTGATAAATTATTCTTATCAAATATTAAGTGTTATCTATATTATAATGATACTTTTAACGTATATGATAATTGATAAGTAGTAAAATCATAAATGCAATCTTCGATAAAATTGACAATTTGAATTTTATATTATGATTCAAATAACTATTTTGATATTCGTCATCAAAATCAAATAGAGTACGATAAATCTTAGTTGATTTGATAGTTTTCCACATACTTACACTGAAAGAAAAAATTTTTTTTGAAAAAAATGAGCAATGTTGTAATAAAAAATTAATTTTTTGAAAATTTTCAAAAATTTTATTTCTTTCCTAAAGAAATCTAAATTTTTCTCACAGTAATTTTACTGTTGAAAAAATCTAGAAAACGGTTGACCCTAAAAGCCATCCCTACAACTTCCCGCTAATTCCATAAATAAGCTCTTAAAATTGCACTTATGACGTTTTTGAGCTCTTCGAGCTCAAAAATATAATCTATGTGTTATTTTGAGATCTCTGAGCTCATAGAGTAAGCTGAGAAATTTCTTAGAGAAATTTCAAAAATTCACTTTTTCCGAATTTTTTCGACAACGATAACTTACGAACCAATGAACCGATTTTCACCTTCTTGGTGGCGATCGACGTGATTTTTTAGGCTCTAATAATTATTTTATTTCGTCAAAAACGATCCAAAAAGAAATGTCGAAGTTATGTGAAAAAAAAAAACACTTTTTTCGAAATTATTCGTTTTCGATAACTCGAGTTCGGGATCCCGAACGAATCAACTGATTTTGACGGGACTGATGGCAATCGACGTAGTTTTTTAAACTTAAGAGCTGATTAGTTTTTGGAATTGATCGGTGAAGCCGTTTAGAAGTTATTCCAAAAAAACGATTTTTTGAAAATTTGATTTTTGAGATTTCTTAAAATCTAGCGAACCGAATTGATTCAAATTTTCACGAAATTTAATGGCAATGATACTCTTTGGATCATCACCTATTTCGATCCGATCGGCCGAGCCGTTCAAAAGTTATAAGAGGTTTACATATATACGCACACACACACACAGCCGCACGGACACCATCGCGGGAATAGTCAGGGAAGCTTCCTGTGACATTAAAACGTCGAGATCTGATGAAAACTCGATTTTCGCAAAACGGGGTAGAACCAATAACTTCCCGATTTTCGAAAATTTTAAATTTTCTTAGCGGGAAGTTAAAAAAGTTTTTTGAAAGTTGAAAAAAAACAATTTTAAATGAAAATTTGCTACTTAGTTGTCTATCTATAATTGTTTTTTTTTTTTTCAAAATAAAAAAAAACTTTTTTTTAACAAGAAACGTACTGCGAGAAAATTTCTTATTTCGTCAACTGCGAAATAAAATTGCAGAAAATTTTCAATAAATTAATTTCTTGTCTCAACAATGCCTATTTTTTCAAAATAATTTTTTTTTCTCAGTGTCCAAGACACGAAATATATCTGTACAATTTTATTACTTTTAAATGCCAAAATTGATACAAGACGATTTCAAGCGATGGACAAGTGTTGACTGCCCGAATGAAGTGATTGATATTTCACGTTACATTTTTTATAGCACTTTTTTTATGCCAATTAAAATAAAACAATTCAAGACCAATCATGCATTTCTCAACTATCAACTTAATCAATTATTTCGAGGATTAAAATAAACAAAAAGCCATATTGATAAGCCTGAAGGTGATTTTAACTTCATTCAGCGAGAAGAAACTCCGAAACTCGACAGTTTCTGCCCTCTAGATGAAACCAGTCGCATCGGTATGAAAGTCTCGTTCCAACTGAGTCAACAAATGTTGAAACTTTGCTGCAAATTGCTGCAACCTGCTCCTGCAAGTAATATGAAAAAGAAGATTAAATTAATCCAACCAAGTATTTTTTTCTTTTGTTAATATAAAAAAAGTGGGCGCAAACTGAAAATAGTTTCTTTGACGTTTTTTAAGATCGATAATGCTCTTATTATATCGACACATCCGCGATCTTTTAAGCTTATGTGAGGTCTAACTAACTTTCACTCGGTAACTTAGGGGTAAAGTTTCAGAATAAAGTTGTTCTTCGCTACTACTAGATGGAGTTGGTATTAAATCTTTCTAGTTGAGGCGCGACATTGCGCTAAATGGTTTTTTCCCAAATTTAGAAAACTTTTTTTTCTACAAAAAAGTTACTGAGAAAATAATTTTGATTTATTCAGCTAAGAAATAAAATGTAAATTTTTAACAAATAGATTTTTTGTAACAAAAATGTGTTGATTTTCTTCAAAATTTTTTCTTTTAGTCTGAAAATACGTAATTTTGATCTTAAATAATTTGTTTTATGTAAATATGAATTTCTTTCAACCAAACACTATTTTGTTTTGGTTTATTTCATTTAATTCGCCTATTTGTTTCATTAAAATAAGATTTTTTAATAGTTAACAAATCTCCTTTGAAATAAATCATAATACGTTTGAGTCGCTTGTCGCTATTTGAGTTATCGTAATTTTAATACCTTTATCCTCGCCTGTTATAATTCACTAATTTTATATACATATATAAATTTTAAATTAATTTAATAACGGAAAAAAATTATAAAAATCCCACTCTTAGCTAATAATTTTAGTTTGTTAGAAATTACCCTAATAGAAATTATACAAATAAACTCATCCTCATTGCTTTGATATAAACTACAAAAAAAATTTTTTTGAATGTGGTTTTTTTGGAATTACTTTTAAGCGACTTTACTGATCAATTCCAAAAACTAATCAGCTCTCAACATCAAAAAACCACGTCGATCGCCGCTAGCCTGGTCACAATCGGTTCATTCGTTTGTAAGTCATCGTTGTCGAAAAAAAACCGAAAAAAAAGGACTGAAAAACTGCATCGAATGCCACCAACCGCGTGAAAATCGGTTAATTCATTCAAAAGTATTGCGGTTTTAAAATTTAAGAAATGGTGTTATATTAAACTTTTACCAGATTTTTGAGCTCGGAGTAAGTACAATTTTGAGCGCTTAAATATAAAATTAGCGGGAAGTTGCAGGGCGCGCGCCCATCCGCGGATGGCCTTTAAGGTCAACAGTTTTTCTAATTTTTTTTCTCAAAATTTCGGGTCACTTTAAAGCGAAAGTTATTTTCATAAAATTTTGCTAAAGTTAATAGTTTTTGAATTACCTATAAATATTTGAAAATTGAAAAATCTCTTTCTGTTTAGATTTTAGCTTATTTTGTTATGAATTTTATTTGGATAATTTAGAAAAAAGTCCCATGTAATTTAGTTGTTTTAAAAGGCATATTTTATTCAAATTCAAGTAATTTTCTTCTTCTTATTCAATAATGAATTAGAATGGAAAAAATCATAAATATATAATAAAACACAATATCTTCAAAAATCATTGTTTAACTTCTCGAAATTACTTTTTTTGTATGAGAAATAATAATTACTTTTTTTTGTGATTACTAAAAGACATATAAAAATAATCGTTTCTATTCTCTAAATTTAAAACAGTAAAAATAACTGAAAAATAATAAACAATCATTGTTTCACATCTATAAAGAACGTCATCATAATGAAAAAAAAAATAGACCAACTTTCGTAGAATCAAGAGATGTTTAAGGTGTTTGCAACATATTACAAATATTCTCCAATATATTTTACTGTTACAAAATTTGCGACAAAGACCTATAACTTTCGAAAGATTTTTATTTCTTTCTCAAATTCCTATAGGAAATAAGATACATATATAAATATACTAGAAAAAATAAACATAACAATATTTTGAATTGGTATTAGTCTTCGAACTTTCATAATTAATCAACTTACTATTGGATAAGCGAGGCAGAAATAATTCTATGTTAAATGAGGTGATTATTTGGATGCGAGTTACTATTAATCAAACCTACTCACCTGTAACACTCAAGATCAATACATGCACGCGTTTGCGTGCAATGATAAAACTTTAAAGTTACCTCAAAAAAATCTAAAAAGCAGTTGACCCTGCAGGCCATCCCTGAAATTGATACTTTCCCGACTAGAAATTTTAATGTAAGACCTATTGGGCCCGCGTTGGGTCTCCTAATAGGGACCGCACATGGGATTAAAGTTGCAATGGTTTTTTATATTTTAAAATTTTAAATTTTTCCATAGCATTAAATATATTCTTACAGTACTAATAAATTTACTTTTTATAATAAGAGAAAATTAATAATTTAAGAAAATATTTATATTTTTTCAACAACCGATTTTTGATCAGAGCATCATCTGATGACATATCAAAATAAATTATATTAGTGATTAAGTTTTTTTTATAAGAATATTATTACTTAACTATATATAAAGAAAACGCTGAAAATAAAATTCTTTTTCAAACCAAAAAAACCAAACCGCACATGGGAATGTCACGCAAAATCCTATGCGGCCCTCATGGGGCAATTCCTTTTAGGTCCCAATGGGGAAATCCCCATCAGAACCCAATCTAAATTTTGAAAGAAAAAATATTATGATTTTCGAAAAGATTAAAAATAATTTAGGATCAGATACTTATATTATATTAGACCTCATTAGTAAATTTAATTTGAATTGAAATGAAATCGTTGATCGAAAAAATCCTTGTCGTGAGTTGGGCTCGAACTTGCGTCCTTAGGGTCCTCAGTCCTTGACGTTACCGCTGGTCCAAGCAGAAGTGCGAATGAGGAAAGTTCCTATCTCGTATACATGCACTTTACCGGTTAACTGAGACATTATTCATGTTATGCTCAAGCTTTAAGAAATTATTTTTTTTTTTTATTTATCCACTTTACTGACGTGAAAATACAATTTTTGTATAAATTAAATAAAAAATTGAAAAATAAAAAAAAAAAAATTTACCGAAAAATGTAAAAAAATTGAAAAAATAATATTCCTTAAAACTGTCCGATTTATTTTGGAATCCCCCTTATACGAACACAAAAAATTTTTTTTTGAAAATTAAAATTTT